GCCAAGCCATGGCCCCTTATCAGACCGATCTTGTCTGTTCTGTCAGTTGAATAACATTACAGGCTTATAGATCTTGTACGCCCTGTCAGTTGCCCCAGCCCTGGCCCCTTATCAGACTGACCACAACTGGTCTCTCCCATCTCTGCTGTAGGCTCAAGGAAATCACAAATCATACAACCGTTCTTATCTTTGAGGATACAGTGAAAGCATTAAAACAGCATAGCTATATTTAAAGCTTAAAGGTTACAAAAAAACAAGCAAGGGGGTTACAAGGAAGTCATAAAGGACATAACTATGGAAGGAATACATCACTCTTGACAAGAACCCTGAGCACCGTTTCTATCACAGATGCACAGATTCTCATAGGCCAGCCTCCCACGCATGTCTTCACATGCAGGTTCAACTTCCACAGACTCAGGTTCGCTATTCAGTCCCAATGTCCACTCCCATCATGACTCTTCGGAGTGTTTCTCGTCACTTTTGTTAAGTTCTCTCAGCATAAGAGTCACCCCACACGGTGAGATGGGCGGAGACGAATTTGAAACATAAATAAAAAATAAAGAAAGAAGAAAAAAACCCGTTTTCTTTGGCTTTCATATTAACTTTCTCTCCTGAACGTCCTTCAGGAGGGATGAGGATTAATCCTCATGTATTTATTTATTAAATTTATATAGCCACGGAAATCAGTAGACACAGGGGGGTCTGCAGGGCTGGGGCGGGGTAAAAAAGGGGTGGGTCTTCAATTGCATCATCGCGTTTGCCATCTTGACTTTTTGGACCTCCACAGACACCCCTGAGTAGCGACTCAGCTTATCAGACCCCATAGTAAGCGTCTCAGGCGGAGTAAGTTGTGTTGCTGTGACATTAATCCATGCAATATCTTGAACTGTAAGAGAACATGACAAAGTATGTCCTTTGTGGGGGCCCTTGAACTTAACACTCCTATTATTTGGGAGGTCTTTAACAAACCCCGAAAGAAACAAATATCGACTTAAGGCGGAACGTTGCACTGCGGACCCCGTCTTGCAAAAGGCCCAGTGACATGACTCAGGGAAGACACTGAGTGGGGTTTTGCTGGGGGCGAACCCAGGGTCTCTTCCAGACTTCAGCTGCGGCGGCCTTTTCATTTTTCCTTTCTCTCTTCCTCTGGAAATGTGAAGGAAGGGTTAAACCCTGCAAGCCTGGCTCCCTAGAGAAGCTGCAGGAAACGGGGAAGGAGGGTCTCCCTACCGATGAAGTCACTTCCTGCGCCTCCTTTTCATGGGGGGAAGGTAGGTCGG